GCCTGGTGAAAAGGACAACTGGCTCTGAATGGCAGATTATTATCATTTGTTACTATGAGGATTTTAAGCCAAATAAGAAATAAACTTAGAGAAATTCTCAATAAAATAAAGATGACAGTCTATGATTAAATGGGTTGCTCTAGATCTAAGGCAGGATCTAATAACACTGTGAGGATTTTATCAGCAAAATCCAGATTGTACGACATTCTAGAAAAAAAATCTGATTTCTTAAAAATGAAAATTGAAAGAAAAAAAGCAAATCACAGCAAAGAAATGGACAGAGAACTTAAATTTATAGACTTAAAGAGACATTTTAACTAACTGAAACATCTGGAGCTTAGCTGGATCCTGATTCAAATAACAAATTGTAAAAATTTTTTCATATTACGTATATTTTAAACATACTTACGACATTTGAAGAAATTGAACTGGGGAAAAGGAAGGATTACAGATGAATAAGCTGATAAAGCTGAGTGATGGTATGTGCAAATTCATAATACTATTTATCTCTATTTTTGTACGTTTATCAAATCATAGCACTATCATGAGGGAACAGCATCAACAGATATCTTTCCCCACCTTTACCTCAAGACCTTCCTACATTTTGTTGAAATGCCATTAGAATACTTCCCCTCGCAATGAAAATCTATAAAAACAATCCCCATCAAAAATCAGAAAGTATTATTTTTCACAAAACCGCAAAGCCTCACATAAGACATTATCCTCACTATACATGCTCTACTTGTCACTGGTGACACTGGCAGAAACTAGGGGAAAAGAATCTACAATAAACAGTTGCTTTCCGGTTGCAACAGAATGTTATTAAACTCCAGTAGCAGAAGGATTCATAATTAAGGAACTCATTATGGTTGGAAAAAACAAACTTGAGGTAAGCCAATGTTTTTATGCTATTTTATATTGACTGAACTAGAACAATAAAGAGTATATGGTAAAGAATATCAATCTCTTACACATCTTGAGTTATATGCACAGTACTTCTCAGATTCTTTCTCCCAATAATCAGGAATCTTAGAATAGAGGCTCTTATTCCTGACCACCTTAAAATTTGTCTAACCTGCTCTTAGTGAATGCAGGCTTCTGCCACTCTCACCTCTCTTGGAATTCACTATACAAATCTCTAATACTGTACTTCTTTCTTCCTTCCTTTTCTCATCATTTCTGATTCTTAAATTCCAGTATTTTTTAATTATCTTCAATAGGGCTTTCAATTTGCATGTTTTAGAACTGAAACTGTTTCAAATGTTATAGAATTTTTCTTGCTATTCCAAATGCACATTTTAGTAATTTGGGGTGCCATAGTTTCAATTAAGTTTTAACACATTTGAGAGTAATAATGAAGATAGTGTTGAATCTACAAAGAGTTAATAAACAGTGGAAGCATCAGATAAAATAACCCTGGAAGAAGATTAAAATGGAATAAATATTTTCAGACTATCATAGTATACAGAAAACTTTTGTTGTTGATGTACATCAGAAGGTAGAACAAAGACAAACAGACTATACTTACAAACATATATTTCTCTAAACTCACTGTAAAAACTTTCTAATAGGGCGCCTGGGTGGCTCAGTTGGTTAAGCGACTGCCTTCGGCTCAGGTCATGATCCTGGAGTCCCAGGATCGAGTCCCGCATCGGGCTCCCTGCTCGGCAGGGAGTCTGCTTCTCCCTCTGACCCTCCCCCCTCTCATGTGCTCTCTCTCTCTCATTCTCTCTCTCAAATAAATAAATAAAATCTTTAAAAAAAAAAAACAACAACTTTCTAATAGAGTTGTCCTAAAATGAAAAGTACTGCTCCTCTTTGAGGTAATAAACTCTATCACTGAATTATATTAAAGCAGAACCAAAAACAGTGTAAAATGAGAGAGGCTGAACTGCCAGTTAATTCCAACTTCGAGTCTATAAATTTATGATAAAATATTTACTACGCTGACATAAAAACTTACTTTAGGATGTAGACCATCTTGGAAGATGAGTAAAAGTTTTATATCCTATTTTAATCTTTGACCAAATTTATTCATTAATCGAGTAAATAATAGTAATATAGTATTTCCTGAGAATGAATTATATCCTTGCATTGTTCTTAACTCTGAGGATATAGTCATGTATGAAACTGACAAAAACCCTGCCCTCTGGCGCTTACGTTGGAAGAGGGACAGGAGGGACACAGAAGAGAAACTGGAGGAGAATAAATTAATCATATGCAAAAGTTTTCCCAATGTATAAATTTCTGGGTAGCAATATATTTCTGCCTAAATAGTGGTTAGGGATACTAATCTCTCTACTCCAACAGACTGATGTCCAAGTTGGCAGCCATAATAAATTCATCCTACATTCTCCAGTCACCTATTCTCCAGCTTGACATACAAAAAAGCCCCCAAACAGCAAGCACTTCACATTTTGAAGTACTTTCACTTTACATAAGTGGCTCTAAAAGACTTCCATTTTTTAAAACATTAACATTTAAAATACTTTTTATGTCATTATACATTTGTTCACCAAGAGTGAACCCTAATGTAAACAATGGACTTTGGATTAAAAAAAATATGCTTTTTACTTAGGCACTTAGTAACCATCAGGCACCAGACCAGCATGGTACAAGAGAAATGCAATGCAAGACATATATAATTATAATTTTTCTAATAACTACATTAAAAAAGAAAAAAGTTAATTTTGATTTTTATTTAACTCAATATACCAAATACTGTCACTGAAAATTAAAGATATTTTATCCTTTTTTAATTCTAAATCTTTAAAATCCAGTGTATATTTTATACTTACAGGACATCTCAATTCACACTAGCCACATTTCAAAAGTGCTAAATAGCTACTGTATCTATAGAAATTAGCATATTTACATTACAGCACCTCTCAATTCAGACATTAAATTTTCACAGGAAATACCTGATGCTGTTTAGACTTAGGTTTATTTAGATTTCATAAAACTTATAGTTGAAAAAGTAAATTCATATATCCTAGTTGTTCCAAATGTATAAAAAAACTTATCCAATAACTGAATTAAGTATCCATTTTAAAATTTAACTGACAGTAACTAAAATTAAAAATTCAATTCCTTAGTTGCATTAGCCACATTTCAAGTACTCAATAGCCACATAAAAAAGATGTGGCTACCATATTAGACAGTACAGTACTGTTCCTAGAAAATGTAGCAAAAAGTTCATAAAATTAATTTTTTTCTCTAGCATTTCCTTTTTATTTGAATTAATTCTGGTTGAAAACAGGTGAGGAGACATTTATTTTTTTTCTTCAAAATTATAACCGGCAGAATCTGCCACAAGAACTGAGGCAGTTCCTTTGAATCAAAACAGTCAATAATCAATCAATAGTGATAGTCTATTATTTCCAAGGTTAAGTGCTCCAACCCCAATGGAGAAAAGTCCCTTATTTGGTTGAAATTATTGCAAACCCCCTTGCCACCCAAGTTAGAAACTCCACTGTTACCTAGTTGTCATTAAATCCTTTCTTAATACCTAGGTTACACCTGTTTAAAAAACTTAATTTCATCACCTTCCACTCTACTTTCAACTGTTGCTACCCTAGTACAAGTACCCATCTTTGATCATCTGAGCTATTTTAAAAGCCTCCTAAAGCTAATTTTAAATACACAGGGATTTTACATATGTCAACACCCATGTAACTAACCATCACCCAGAAAAAGTACAAAGTATCTCCAGTACTCTATAAAGTTCCCTCCTGTCCCTAACGACCCCGTCAACCCCTAGAAACAGGTAGTCTGGTGGACTTTTGATTAGTTTTGCCCTGATGAACTTCATGTAAATGGAATTACACAGGATATACTCTTTTATACCTGGCCTGGTTTAATTAAACACATTGTATCTATGAGATTCATCCATGTTGTTGTCTGTGCAAGTAGATCTTTCTTATTGCTAAGTTATGTGGAATTTTACGAATATTCTCAAATTTATTTATCCATTTTTCTGCTGACAGACATTCAGGTTGTTTCCAGTTTAGGGCCTATTGCGAATAAAGCTGGTATGAAGATTAATAATGTTGGTTTAAGTATTAAAAGAACCCAAAATAAACGCTCAGTATATGTTACCTCTTTCCCTCCATTGTATTGGAGTTAGAGTAGAAACTGATGCTGTATATACTATACAGAATGAACTTAAACAATTCAAAATCAGGTTGAAAGACATGCCATGTATACCTTCAATCATTATACACGTTAAGTACACGCACAATAAATTTGTATCACATAAACAACCACAAACATTAACACCAAATGACTGACAAAATTTAATCCTGTTTAATATCACATTTTAGCATCTGCTCTATATTTTCTAATGCATCAAGAAGACATTAATCCAGGCAACCAGAACAGAAAAACCAGATTTTGTCATCTTATCATTTTGATAAGACAATGCACGTAAAAACATGATATGCAATATTAAAAGATGATTCTTTAAGAGGTTACAGAAAGTTAATTAGTGTTATTTTGGCCATTTAAACAAGTTCAGTAAATTTGAGCATATGAAATTTTTATACTTTGTAAAATCAGCATCAGCTTCCCTAAGCATTATTGTAAATTCATTTCAAAATAATGCTTGGGTATGGACTTAGTAGGAATGCTAATTGGCATGAATGTGTTAAATGACTGGTGCACTTCCTCCATGCAGGAGGTAATATTAAAATGAATCAGATGAGAAATAAATGTTTTATAAAAATTAGTAAAACAGCAATTAATATCCTAAAATCCACTCAATAAAAGTCATTTTATTGCCTATCACTTGCCTCTCTAATATTATAAAGCAAAAGGAAAATGAAAACAGTAAAAAAAAAAGCAAAGTTACAATTAGATTCATTCAATAAACACATGGACAGTAAACCTTTAAAAATTACTCATTTGTACAAAGATCACTTGTACTTTGCCTATACTACCATAAAGCTATAAATTCACACAAAGTAAAAAGATCAATGCAATCTTCACATTTTTCTCCTTACCTCCCATTCTCTGGCTGCTGCTGCTTCATTACTAGAATCCTCATTTGGTTCAGATTCTTCAATCTTTTTCACTACTATAAATCCAGGTTCTCTGGTATATTCACCAGTATCTTCTGCATATATTTCTGGACTCCACTGAATGAAGAAGGCATACAAGTGGTCTGTCCTGTTAGAACATGCGACTGTTAATAACAGACCTACTATTCTGTACTCCTAGCTATAATTACAAAATGATATTTGTTAAATGACTTCACAAAACTTTAAGATTTAAAATATACACAACATATACTATGCTTTATTTAAAAAGATAATGAAGCCTAATGGCAGGAAGACATTAACTTAAAAAAGTTTACTCGGCTGTGTTCTGTCAAGTCGTTCTGAGAAACTAAGATTTTTGCGTAAGCTCAGATGATGTCCATGGTAATTTTTTTTTTTTAATCTTTAAAGAAACTAGTGATGGGAAAGGAAACTGAACCAGCAACTGTGATCTCATTCACACAATGACCTAATTATCTAAAATACGAGTAAACAATTTACTAACTGCCTATTTTAAAACTTGGATATTATACAGAATTTTCCGAAGTTAATAGAAATTTAATGTGTTTAACTCTTAAATGATACCAGGAACACACAATGTATTATTGGTTCAGGGATAGATGATCTAATCTTTTAATGGTTCAGGGATAGATGATCTAATCTCGCTCCCGTTTTCAATTTTGTTTACTATAGCAAAACGTGTTGTTACAAAAGATAATTAAATCCCGGATCAACTTACTTGAGGATCAAACACACATTTCAAATATCTATGTATCCTTGGCTATTAATTAGCAGGGATACTTGCATTTTAAAAAAGGGATTATGTATCATTACCTGCCTTGAGGTAGTGGCCATACTGTTTAATATTTTGAGGAACCTTCTTGCTCTAAGACATTTTTTTAAAGTTTTTACTTAAATTCTAGTTAGTTAACATTGTGCAAGATTAGTTTCAGGTGTAGAATTCAGTGATTCATCACTTATACACAGCACCCAATGCTCATCACAAGTGCCCTCCTTAATGCCCATCACCCATTTAGCCCATCCCCTGCCCACCTCCCCTCCAGCAACCCTCACTTTGTTCTCTACAGGTAAGTCTCTTCTTATGGTTTGCCTCCCTCTCTAAGACAATTTAACTAGGTTTCTTTACCACTAAAACTAGGTACACATTTACTTTTTTTGCATTAAATCACAGAGAGGAATAAAATTTAAAATGTGGTAAATTAAAAAGTACAAAATAGGAGCTAAGTAATTTTAAGGGGTGCCTGGTGGCTCAGTCAGTTAAGCATCTATTGCTTTAGGCTGAGGTCATGATTGCATGGGTCGTGAGATCCAGCCCTGGAGTTGGGCTCCACACTCAGCAGAGTCTCCTTGAAGATTCTCTCCCTCTGGCCCTCCCCTGACTCTTGCGCATGTGTGCACTCTTGCGTGCACGTACCCCACGGGCGCGCACTCTCTCTTTTCCTTTCAAATAAATAAATCTTTAAAAAAATAATTTAAAAAGATTTAATGTCAGGTTTTAATCATAACCTATTTTTTTTTAAAGTACTTTTCTACTGGTATTAAGTGATATATAAGATCATTTTAATTCAAGGAATCTCAATAACGTTTTTGAGTTTTTTTTACCTTTCTTGTGGCACAGCAAACCAATATTCATGTTTCTTATCTCTCTGTGCATACTGTTGCATTGTTGCACTTGCTTGAGATACAAATGTTTTCCTCATTGGTTTTCCAACTCTGAGACATAAGAACTTATGTAATCGATGCCTTCTCTTTTCTCTTAAAAGTGCAGAACCTAGAAATGAGATACAAACAGCGCTCATTCAATTTTCATACACCATGCTTAAGCAATTTGGTGTAAGTGATGTTTACCTCCAAACTTCTGACAAGTTAATACAGAATAAAATTAAATTTACTGACAGTCACTTAGATGAATTCTCTTAAGTAACTTTTATTTTCTTCCAACGGGATTCATGAACTAGCACCCAAGTTATGAACTGAAATTATGTCCAAGCGTATTAGGAAAAAAGGGGAAAGTTTTAGGAATTCTTGCATTAAATTTTTGCTTGGAACAACTATATTAAAGTAATTGCATGCACATATATAATTTTCTTCATATTCTCTATTAGACTTCTAGAATAACATCAAAACACATTGTAGAATCTTTAAAAGTTTACTTTAATATAGTTATTATAGACAAAAAAAAATTTTTTTTTTTTTTAAGATTTTATTTATTGGGCGCCTGGGTGGCTCAGTTGGTTAAGCGACTGCCTTCGGCTCAGGTCATGATCCTGGGGTCCCTGGATCGAGTCCCGCATCGGGCTCCCTGCTCGGCAGGGAGTCTGCTTTGCCCTCTGACCCTATCCCCTCTCATGTGTTCTCATCTCATTCTCTCTCTCTCAAATAAATAAATAAATAAATAATCTTTAAAAAAAAAAGATTTTATTTATTTATTTGACAGAGAGAGAGAGCGCACAGGTAGGCAGAGCGGCAGGCAGAGGGAGGGGAAGAAGCAGACTCCCCACTGAGCAGGGAGCCCGATGTGGGGCTCGATCCCAGGACCCTGGGATCATGACCTGAGCCGAAGGCAGATGCTTAACGACTGAGCCACCCAGGCGCCCCATATAGACAAAAATTTAATAAAAAATGTTTCTGGAAGCTTTTCCATATATATGAGGTAGGATAAAACAATCAACAATATCCTGGATTCAGCCATCTATTTGGACAGTTTATGATGAATTATCTCTAACTCTTCCAAACAGAGATGCTGACATAAGGTATACTGAGGGTCTGACACTATGACTGAATTCAGAATTCTGGACATTATTAGCTTATGAAGGTGGCATACTGTGGAAGAAAAAGCACTTATTTATAATCAAGATAACTGGGTACTAGTCATGGCTTTCTTCTGTACAGTATTGTGCAAGGTGCATAAATCTATCTGAGCCTCAATACTTACATCTGATTAAAAGAGTGAACTTTTACCATCTTCCCCACAATTATATTCCACAGTTGTATATTTATTAAACCATTTTGCTATATTATAAGGTCACTAAAGATCAGAAATGTGTAATATTTCCCGATTATAGAACCTCAAGTTACTTAAAATTAGTTACTTAAAACAAATTTTCATTCCCTCCCTCCTCAAAAAGAACTCAAACGATAATACAGGTACACCTATATCTAAACTTATCAATTTTTCTCCTTTAGTATTTTGTCATAATAGGAGCTCCCTCCCCATCTAATCCCATACTCCAACAAACCCAATAAATGAAAGCATTCTACCACATTATTAGGTTAAACAGAACCCCTCATTTTTTTTTTCAAAGATTTCAAAATATAAGGCAACCATCAGACACAAGAATAGCAAATAAAGACATTCACACCAGCATTCTTTACAATATCAAAGACAGGAAATATCTTAACAATACGAATTGTTAATAACAACTGAATGTCTTAACAGTATGGAAATGGTTAAAATACCGGGCCATTAAAAGCCATATTTTCAAAAAAACTATAATGACATAGGAAATTATTCATGACATAAAATTTTAAGTATAATCCTGATTTTATATAAAAAATACATATGTATAGATACAAATACCAAAATTGTATACATATGTATTTAAACGTGTATGTATATATACATACACACCAAAAATAAAAGATAAATATACCAAATGTTAGTAATGATTATTTCATGGATAAATTTCAGGTAATTTTAAAAAATTTTCTAAAAAAATCTGTATTTGTCAAATGTTCTTTAATGAACATTCATTAGTTCTGAATAAAGAAAAAGGTATTAAAAAAGAATTATTCAATTTTTTATAGAACTTTCGTTGAGCAAATTAATTCTTTAACATCTACTAAATATCATCAGGATATTTAAAAAAGATGATGCAAAGAAAATCCAGCACAGGTATTTTAAAAACTTTTGTATATTGCTGGTGGGAATATAAAATATGAAGCCACTGTGAAAAACAGCTTGGGGGGGGGGTTCCTCAAAATTAAATTAAACACAGAATTACCATAGTAACTAGCAAATCCACTTTTGGGTATATATCCAAAAAAAATGAAAGGAGGGATTCGAACAGGTATTTGTAACCCAATGTTCATAGCAGGATTATTCAAAATAGCCAAAAGGTAGAAACATCCAAATGTACATTAACAAATCAATACATAAAGAAAATGTGGTGGTAGTAAAGTTGACCACTGAATGATGCAGGGGTTAGGGACATGGACCCCCCCACACACACACACAGTCAAAAATTTGAGTATAACTTTTGACTCTCCCCAGAAACTTAACTACTAATAGCCTACTGTTGACTAGAAGCTTTACCAGTAACATAAACAGATGTTTCCCATGTTTTGTATGCTATATTATATACTGTATTCTTACAGTACAGAAAGCTAGAGAAAAGAAAATGCTAAGAAAGTCATAAAGAAGCAAAAAAACATTTATAGTACTGTACTGTATTAAAAAATTATGTATAAGTGGACCCGCACAGTTCAAACCCATATTGTTCAAGGGTCAACTATATACTGGAATATTGTGCAGCTTTTAAAAGGAAAGAAATTTTAAAACAAGCCACAACATAGATGAAATATAAAGGCATTCTCCTAAGGGAAATAAGCCACACTTTACAAAAGAACAAATACTGTATGATTCCACTTTTATGAGGTGCCTTATGTAGAGACAAAAGTTCATAGAGACAGAGTAGAATGGTGGAAGGCAGGAGCAAAGGGCAGGAAAGAATGAGGAGTTACTACTAAATGGATACAGTTTGTTTGGAAAGATGAAAAAGTTCTGGAAATGGATGGTGGTAATGATTGCACAACAATGTGAAGGTACTGAATGCCACTAAATTTTACACTTAAAAATGGTTACTATGGTCAATTTTATTTTATGTATATTTTAGCAATAAATTACTTTTGAGTTTAATTTAAAAAGTTCATATGCTAATTGGATTGATTTGGAATCAGTATTTTAATAGAATATAAGAAATGTTAGCTAAGATACCTGAACTACACCCCATTTAATCTATTATGTATTAAGGGGAAGCTACTGTATATTAGAAATAAAACATAGTATATTACTATAATTTTCGTAAGTAAACAGTACTAAAAACCAAAACTGAAAGAGAAATGGTTTTTGAATTTATCCTTGGTGTTTTTTAAAGGAAAACGTTTAATCAGACAATGATGAACTTTTGGACACTTGGAATAACTTAAGAAATAAATTTTTGTCTAATTGCACTTTTTAAAAAAAGGTAGAATTACAAACTTTGGCAATTACGAACTGTAATTACAATATTTTATGTGCAGTAAAAAATTTTAATGAGGTAATACACCAAGAATTAAGAGAAAATGGAGAAATCAAAGGTATTACAGAGCTTGTGTGCATTTTCAAGAAATCGTTTAAAGACAGAACACAGTGAGTCAGGATTATCTAAAGATGGTGGAAAAGATGCTCATGATGTGTACAATCCACCATGGGATAAGAAGAGACCTTAGACTAGGAACTAGAGACCATATACTTATCCCCAGAGAAACATCAGTGAATGGCCACTAGATCTTCCTTCAGAGTGGCCTAAGATACAGCAGCTTTTTAGTCTGTGAGGAAAGAGGGAGACAATATGCAGTAAGATAATTAACTTTATATATTCCTTAACACTTACCTTCTATGTCAGCAGTTGCTATTTTATGCTTAATTTCTTTTTGTGACACTTGTTGAATATTTTCCCTTTGCTGTTTAGTCTGTTGCATAGTATGGATTTTCCAGAGTTTCCGTAGTTCTTCTACCTCTGTCTCTGAGTCCTGATTTTGCTCCTTTCCTTGTTTTCCTTTATTGGCAGTTTGCTTTTGTTTAAAATCTGCTGCTTCCCCACAAGGCATACTTTCTTTTTTACCCTCCTCTTGATGTAGTGAATTCTCATTCAGAGGAAAATCCTGGTCTGTATTACCTTTTATACTTGTGCTTTGTTCTTGAGGGCCTGGTATTTCCTGAAAATTATCTGTAGCCTGATCTTCCTTAGTGGCCCTTTCAAGATTATCTAAAACTGTTTTAAGAGAAGTAGTCCCAACTTCATCTGTAGAATGTCCAGGATCAGATTTTAAGTGATCAGGCATATTAGTAGACTCTGATATGGCTGTTAAACATTCTACGCCACTCTGACTGACAGTTTGCACAGATTCTGATGATGCACCAGATGACTTATCTTGTCGAAGTTCATCTGACGAGACAAGCTCCTCCCGTATAGGAGAGAGTTCTGATTCTGTGAACACATCCTCAGAAAGAGACTCCTCGGTGCTCCTCGGAGCCGTGCTGGCACTATCGTTACCTGCATCGCGGGCTCTGGAGTCTATTTCATCAGTATGACTTCTCATCATTTTCTTTAAGTGGCAGAAGTCCCTTCCTGATACCTGATCTATCTCTCTGCCAGTAAACAAAATTAAAAGTTGTTACTTTTTAAATTGCATTTTATTTCCCACAAATTTAACATTGAATGAGTTATCACTAAAAAGGTTTCTAGAAAGGGGTATAGTATATATCTCAATAGCATATCAAAAATTTGATGTATATAGATAGACCAAGTAATTAAGTCAAGCCTTTGCAATGATTTTTTGAGATCTGGGAAACATCAACAGAAGATATCCTGAATTAATCTACCTGAAAAGAAGTTGGAAATACAAGTTTTGGGTGAAGCTGTAATTCTACACTAAACTTTATTCATTACAGGAATATGGAAAATAAGCTTAGATAAAATTTTGATTAAAATTTTAAATGTCTTAAGAAAAAATACATTGATATTAAATACATGGACACACACAAACACACAGTGCTCATTTACATTTAAATAGATCACACTAAAATATGCAGCTCAAATGCAAAGCTGAAGACCAACTGGAATAAAACTGAGGCAAACATACTTACAGGAATTCTTCAGGCTACCAGCAACAACTCTTAACTCAGAAAGAACTTGTTCCGCTAAAGGTTTAGATACTAGATATATGAATGGTTCATAATTCTATCAAGATTTCCATGTTTAATGGCATTTATATATATGAGCACTAATGTTCAAAGTTAGTTTAAATTCTGGAAGGAGGCAATACAAACATCTATATAAAGCATGAAATGAAAGTCAGAAATTTAAAATGATGGTTAAAAATAGTTTGTGACAAATGGAAATTAACATGAGTTCTTAGTGGAAAAACTACTAACATTTATGTAAGTTTAAGAATAGGAGATAAGTCAAAACAAAAATAATTGGCTGTCTCTGGATGGTGAAGCTGGGGAACTCTTCTGTTTTATTTTTTCTTTGTAGTATTTTTCAAATTTTACATGAGTATGCATAACACTTTATAACTAAAATAGATAAAAATTTATTTTTTAAACAGTTATCAATTGAATTCCAATTCATGTCTGTCTTGTCTCCCTTGCATCTGATTCGCCATAAGAAACACATCTGATTTGTGCTATTAAAAATGTAATAGTGTCATCTACTGGTGATCCACTCAAATTGCATATATAAGATCTTGGAATACGGCAAAAGGCAAAAGTTTTGAGAAACTGTATGTGTACATTTAAGAAGACCATTAGGTAAGAGATAAAGTTAACAAATGTAAGAAGACATATGTTTGATCAAGGGCTGTAAAACCTTCAGAGTTAATATGCTGAAACTAGATATTTAGGCCAATGATGTTGCTACTGCTTAACACAGTTCTAGAACAATACCTTTGAAATCAACTATCCAAGCAGAAGACAGAAGAAAATCAATCAAATCTTATGCCTCAGTATTGCTACACATGGCATTACTCTGCAAAACTACTTGCTTTGTTTATCTAATTTGCTGCCAAATAGTGTTTTTAACTACTTCACAAGGCAGGATTGAAAGATACTTCGTTTTGGAGGAATTTTTTTTTAAGTGTTTGGATCAAATGCATGGTCTTTCCCGGGACATTCTAAATAATAAAACAGTGATTTGCAAGAAGAGGAGCCCTACAGCATCCTAGTGGAATACTTACAGATCATTCAGCATAAGAGAATCCCTAAGTATCATAATAAAAATAGAAAAGCAGGGCAACAGAAAGTGAATCTCACAGTGACTGACAACATGCACATATATATATATATAATATGAATATATATATAATATGAATATATATATATATAATCTTATTTCTTTTTTAATCTAATCCTTTACTCCTTCACCTTTGTGTCATCCTTTCACCCATCCCAATAATACTTATTTCCTGAAAGTGACTTTAGATGACGATCTATAAAAATAACTAAAGCAGAAGATACTCTAGGAATTATCTGCACCTCTACGGATGAGTTTACCAAGCCAAAATAGTATCTATTGGATGGAAGGTATAATGGACACTTTCTGAATAAGGGATTTTATTCTACCACAGGTATCCTAACAACTCATGTACTCTGCCTCAGAAACAAAAATAATTTGCTCTTCTATGTAAGCAGTTCTCTACCCCAAGGGTTAATTTTCAAACAATGATCCACATCCCTGTGGGCTAATAAAGTTAAAGTGAAGCCAGTTTTTAAACTATTGACAAAGTATGTGTGGAGGAATGGGGAGTATTCTTTTCTGTTGTCATTCCTTTCTTTGAATACTTTCTTCTCCTTTTCTTTCTTATTCCTCCCTTTTCTCTCTGGTCATTCCTTTGGTCAAGCACATTACTTTCAAAGGCTGTGCTAAGCTGCAGTCTCACAGCTATGTTATTTGAATCACATGAATCCCTTGACCAGTATATTCCAAGCATAACTCTTTCAAGGATAACCGAGGGAAGGATGCTCATGAGATCTCCCTCAAATCCCACACCGACTCTTCAGGCTCTTCTAAGAAAAATTTGAAAACTACCCTAGTCTACTTATATTACCTTAAATTAGTCACAGAAATAATTTAAAAATCTGAATGCTGTGTTTGAATAAAAAGGGCTGGTAAACATTAAATTAAATAAGGTTTATAGGTTACTTTTAAATATCCAGTTCCCTGACGAAATATATAAATATAAATCTAGAACAATTCCTAACTATTCAAGGTGTGTTAAAAATAATCTTTTCGGGGGCGCCTGGGTGGCTCAGTTGGTTAAGCGACTGCCTTCGGCTCAGGTCATGATCCTGGAGTCCCTGGATCGAGTCCCGCATCGGGCTCCCTGCTCGGCAGGGAGTCTGCTTCTCCCTCTGACCCTCCCCCCTCTCGTGTGCTTGCTCTCTCTCATTCTCTCTCTCAAATAAATAAATAAAATCTTTATAAAAAAAAAAAAGCTTTAAAAAAAATAATAATAATCTTTTCGGGTGCCTGGATGGCTCAGTCGTTAAGCATCTGCCTTCGGCTCAGGTCATGATCCCAGGGTCCTGGGATCGAGCCCCACACTGGGCTCCCTGCTCCAGGGGAAGTCTGCTTCTCCCTCTCCCACTCCCCCTGCTTCTGTTCCCTCTCTTGCTGTCTCTCTCTCTGTCAAAAAATAAATAAAATCTTTAAAAAAAAATCTTTTCAATACCATATTTTTTCATTGCTGATAAAATGAAAAGCAGTTTTAATAAAACTAATACAAAATACTTAAGAGTAAAAAAAAAAATACTTGAGTATTAAACCAGGGTCAACTATCTAGATGTAATAAAATAAAGCAGTTTTAATAAAACTAATAAAAAATACTTAAGAGTAAAAAAAAAATACTTGAGTATTAAACCAGGGTCAACTATCTAGATGTAATAAAATAAAGCAGTTTTAATAAAACTAATAAAAAATACTTAAGAGTAAAAAAAAAATACTTGAGTATTAAACCAGGGTCAACTATCTAGATGTAATAAAATTCCAAAGGAGTATAAATACCAATCTTACATGGGTAAGGATTCCTTTATTTTGCTATCCAAAATTTCTTTGTACATTGCAGCTGACATCACCTCTTCCATTGGACACATGATGCCATATTCCTCACAGCCATTCTCTTGAACCAAAGGGTCAGTTTTATGTGGATCAAACATTATATTATTTGGTGTTACTAGCAGCACACCACTGACTGTGCCCTAAGATGAAAAAAGAAAATGACATTTAATGCTCAAATTTTCAAAAAGTATTCTAGCTGTTTTTACTAATTTTCTTCAGATGTTAGGCCATCTGTTATATATAAAAGTAGTATATCCAAGCACTAAGACATTCTCATGAAAACATTTTTTCATTATGTTTTACATTAATTTGCATTCTGCTTCCTGTGTTGTTCCCTCACTACAGATACCAAATATAGTTTCATGTACACAAACAGGTTTAATAAATAATGTGTTGATAATTCAATCCAGTATAAAAGAAAAACAGCATAATCTCTTTAAAATGTCTTTTTAAAAAATCTCTGCTTCAACTGACTCTGTTAACTACCTAGCTATTTGACTTTGGGCATGTAAAGCTTCTGGGCCTCAGTGCCGTCATCTGTAAGAGTAGGTAGATTAGATACTTCTAGGGTATATAGTAATCATTTTTAATTTAATCATGACAAGTTATGAAATTTTAAATACATTTATATAAACAGCAATATAAATATGAAGAATCCAGCCTCTTGTCTTAGAAATGAGCAAACTGAAGTCCACAGGAAGCCAATCTCACTAATTATTAGCTAATACTTACTGAAAGCTTTGTATGTATCATGTTTTACATACATTATTGTTCATTTGATCTTCACAAGCACAGCTATGAGATGATTACACAAATAGGAAAATTAAGGTTGTGAGAGGCTAGGAAACTTATCTTAAGTAATAAATAACATAGCTAACATAAGTGGTAGAACCAAGATTCAAAATCCAGGCAGTCTGTGCCTTTTACTTAAGTCCCTCCACATTCAAATCTAAACCACAGTCACTCCAACTCAGGCGCTAAATATTCCTTAATCCAATTTTTAACTCCTATTCTATATATTCTGTAAGTGTAAAAATGAAGAGCCATACAGAATTCTAAAAATAAACTAAGTAGTTACTTCAAGGCTGTCCTGTCTTTTTATCTGAAGCTATTAAGGAAAAGAAAATAAATCCTGCTTGATTTGGTGTAACATCCTCCTTCAAAATCCATTTTCAGCTCTATAAATTTACCTGGCTTAACTTTAAGAACATAAAACTTAAGTTATGACAGACACTACTATTAAAAATGATCAAGAGGAAAAACAGAAAACTCTGGGAGAGTTTTTGGTCACCCATCTGGCAGAAAGTTACTGCAGATGTTCAAGATAATAAAACATGCTTATCATTTGTAGTAACTGCATACAATATCGGAAAGAAGCATATGCATATGTGTATGCATTTTGGTGGGAAAAAGGGAATCGATGTGAAACTCTAAACAGCATTTTTTTTTTAGTTCAGACCACGGACTACCTAAATAAGGAGTAACTATATAAACCATGGCCTGATCATATTTTGATGGATATTTTAAGTAGATTCATATATATCAGGTTGTATTCCTGGATCACATGCCAACACAAGTCAAAGACAGATGGTGAGGTATGTTGCAGGGACATTTACATTGCTACGGATAATCCAAGAAACAGACAATCAAGAGTAGAGTATACACAATGTAAAAAATCTTAAAGGTTTCTGATTCTCTACCTTCCCTTACTCTATCTCACCTTCTATAAACTTAAGTTATTTGAGAAATAAAACCAAGTAATCAGTAAGAAGGAAAGCAAACATCAGGTCTCTGAAAGACCTCAGTTCATTCTTGGTTTCATAAATTTTATATAAGCATTAGTTTTAAATAATGGTATATTATTAGGTTCACTGGCGTAACATTACATACTATCTTTCACTTCAGAATATTTTTGCAAAGATAATGACTACTAGGTATATAGGATTGAGAAGGCCCAGTATTAATGATAATGCATTAACTCACTATACCTGTTAATACTATAATACTGCTACTTTTAGTAGTGTAACTACAGAAATCGTTTGAAAAGCCTCTCAAAATTGTGCTTCTACTTCTTAGAGTCGATGGGGCTTAAAGCCCTACCTCTTAACACTAGTCTGACCAATCTAGTAATGTTACTTTGCAGGAATTCACCCTTATTTGCTGCTATTGCAGATGTGCTAATGTATTCCTCAAGCTTCCTTCCCTGATTCTAGGTGGGGCTCTGAGGTATTCTGTCAGATGTTATTCTCTTTAAATCAAGAGTTGGCCATGAGAAACACTACTTCAACATAAAATTCACAAAAATCTTCTGACAAAGTAACTGCTCAAATTCAACTAACCAAGACCAAGTTTGAAATCATAAGCTCAAAATAAAATACTGTTTCACTCTTTTTTAAGGCTGTTTCATAAATCTGAACGTATTATCAGGAGCAAGAACGTATTATAGTAAGTGGTTTCCAATTAAAATATCTTCTTTTTTTTTTTATGTGCCTTGTTGAGCATTGCTGTTTTTTTATCACCATACATTACATCTTTAGTTTTTGATGTAGTGTTCCATGATTCATAGCTTGCGTGTAACACCCAGTGCTCCATTCAATACATGCCCTCTTTAATACCCATCACCAGGCTAACCCATCTCCCCACCCACCTTCCCTCTAGAACCCTCAGTTTGTTTCTCAGAGTCCATAGTCTCTCATGGTTCATCTCCCTCTCCGATTCCTGCCCCCCTTCATTTTTTCCCTTCCTATGAATGCTGTGAATTGTGTAAGACTGATGAATCACAGACCTGTACCTCTGAAACAAATATACATTATGTTAAAAAAAAAAAGAAGATAAAATATCTTCTTAATCCATATGACCTTCAGAAACTTTAAGCACAGATTTCTCTTTAGTATTAGTAACTGCCAATTTCTTATGTGCAAGTACTTGACTAATCTTCCATGGAGAATTTTTTCTATTAGAAAAGAAAGTGTCTGCTTTTGTCCATTGACAGATGAATGGATAAAGAAGATGAGGTATATATACAACGGAATATTATGCAGCCATCAAAAGGAATGAAATCTTGCCATTTGCAACGACGTGGACAGAACTGGAGGGTATTATGCTGAGCGAAGTAAGTCAATCAGAGAAAGACATGTATCATATGATCTCACTGATATGAGGAATTCTTAATCTCAGGAAATAAACTGAGGGTTGCTGGAGTGGTGGGGGGTGGGAGGGATGGGGTGGCTGGGTGATAAGACACTGGGGAGGGTATGTGCTATAGCGAGCACTGTGAATTGTGTAAGACTGTTGAATCACAGACCTGCACCTCTGAAACAAATAATACATTATATGTTAAAAAAAAAAAAAAAGAAGATAGCAGGAAGGGAAAAATGAAGTGGGGGAATCAGAGGGGGAGATGAACCATGAGAGACTACGGACTCTGAGAAAGGAACTGAGGGTTCTAGAGGGGAGGCGGGTGGGGGGATGGGTTAGCCTGGTGATGGGTATTAAAGAGGGCACGTTCTGCATGGAGCACTGGGTGTTATACGCAAACAATGAATCATGGAACGCTACATCAAAAACTAATGATGTAATGTATAGTGATTAACATAACATAATAAAAAAAAAAGAAAAGGAAGTCTGTAAAAGTTACCACTTATACTACAATATTTCTTAAATATTAGAAGATAAAAAACTATGATTTGGGAGTACATCCCAGCAGAGAAAATAACTTCTACTGATCTTTTTTTTCAGTCTTAAGTCCACTGTAACCTATAATTTTGTTGATAAATTTCCACAATTTTTACATAAATAACCTTTATTATAATAAATCTATAGGAAGAGCCAGTATCCAGCAAATGTTCACCTTCCATGAACACCAGGCTGTAAGCTGCTCCTAACCCTGCGAATGACTTTATCTTTGCTTTGATACTTAAATAAAAATTTTATTCAAATGGTTACAACTGAAATTCTGCTTCTAGCCAAGAACTAATTTTGCCTAAAACTACTAAAACCACACACACACACACACACACACACACACACAATACATGAAATGACTATTTTCAGCTACTGGAATGCTGGGCAATGATACCTGAATAAGGGAAAACAAAGAAAATGAACTCTATAAATGCCCCAGCATACTGAGTGGAGAGTTTCCAGGCCAGAGGCAGAGAAAGGAGAGATGAGCACTCCCAATTGAGAATGGTTTGGAGATCCACAGAAGGTCTTCTTTCAAGTTCCAGCTGAGCACTGAATGCTACCTATATGTATGGCAACTATCCCAGGACGAGAAAAGCAGCAGCACTCAGAAGAAGCAGAGGAAACAATTCATAGAGTCAAGAGAGAAAGGAACAGCTAATATTCTTACCAACCACAGCAAAAAAACCTTATAATTTACAGGGCCCCAGAAAACTCAGAAGGGCATTGTCTCAGTAAAGGGAAAAACTAGCTATAGTTGCTTTGGTCCTGCCTGACAAAGCTTAAAACAAGCTATGTTATGATCAAACTGCTTCTAAAACACAACTGTATCACAGAAAATAGTACAAGTATATGTAGAGAAATATAAAAATAGCCAGCACCCAAGAAGATAATAACATTTATATCTGATATCCAGTTAAAGATTACTAGGCATGTAAAGAAAAATAAAAAAGTGACTCATCACAATGAGAAAAGTCAATTAAAAGGAAGAAACCCAGAAGTCAGAGCGAGAAATTAATTAGTACAAAGACATTAAAATAATTATTATAACTATATTCCATATATTAAAGAATATAGGATAGATTGTGCATGGTAGTTACGGACAAGGAAGATACACGAGAGCCAGTTTGAACTTACAGAGATGAAAAATATGCTCAATAGAATTAACAGCAAATTAGACATGGCAGACAAAACATTAAATAACTTAAAGGTATAGTAATTGAAATTGTCCAAAATAGAAAGAAAAAAAAAAGAACAGAGTATCAATGAACTATGTTGAGACACAACATCAAGCAGCCTAATATATGCATAAGTGGAGTTCCCAAAGAAGAGGAGAGGATGGAGAAAAAAAATTTGAAGAAATATGACCCCAAATTTTCCAAATCTGATGAAAACTATAAACCAACAGGTTCAAGAAGTTGATTGAATCCTAAGCAAAACAAACAGAAAAATACACCAAGGCACATCATAATCCAATGGTTCAAAATCAATGATAATGAGACTCTCAAAGATATGTACTCTGCAAACTACAGAACACTTATGAAAGAAATTAAAGAGGACACAAAGAAATGGAAAAACATGCCATGCTCATGGATTGGAAGAACAAACATTGTTAAAATGTCTATACTACCTTAAGCCATCTACATATTTAATGCAATCCCTATCAAAATACCACCAGCATCTTTTACAGAGCTAGAACAAACAATCCTAAAATCTGTATGGAATTACAAAAGACCCTGAATAGCCAAACAATCCTGAAAAAGAAAAGCAAAGCTGGAGGCATCACGATTCTGGACTTCGAGCTATAGTCATCACTACATGACTACCAAGTTGTAGTCATCAAGACAGTATGGTACTGGCACAAAAACAGACACACAGATCAATGGAACAGAATAGAAAACCCAGAAATGGACCTGCAACTCTATGATCAACTAATCTTTGACAAAGCAGGAAATAATACTCAATAGAAAAAAGACAATCTCGTCAACACTAGTGTTGGGAAAACTGGACAGCAACATGCAGAAGAATGAAACTGGACCACTTTTTTACACCATACACAAAAATAAATTCAAAATGGATGAAAGACCTAAATGTGAGACAGGGAACCATCAAAATCCAAGAAGAGAACACAGGCAGCAAACTCTGACCTCGGCTGTAGCAGCTTTTTCCTAGACATGTCCCTGGAGACAAGGGAAACAAAAGCAAAAATGAACTACTGGGACTTCAAGATAAAAAGCTTCTGCACAGCAAAGGAAACCAACAAAACTAAAAGGCAACCTACAGAATGGGAGAAGATACTTGCAAATGACATATCTAATGATAAAGCGTTAGTATCCAAAATCTATAAAGAACTTACCCAATTCAACACTCAAAGAACAAATAATCCAATCAAGAAATGGGCAGAAAACATGAACAGACATTTCTCCAAAGAAGACATACAAATGGCCAAAAGACACATGAAAACATGCTCAACATCACTCATCATCAGGGAAATACAAATCAAAACTGCAATGAGATACTACTTCACACCTGTCAGAATGGCTAAAATTAACAACACAAGAAACAACAGGTGTTGGCGAGGATGCGTAGAAAGGGGAACCCTTTTGCACTGTTGGTGGGAATGCAAGCTGGTGCAGCCACTCTGGAAAACAGTATGGAGGTTCCTCAAAAAGTTAAAAACAGAACTCCCCTACCATCCAGCATTTGCACTACTATTTACCCAAAGGATACAAAAATACAGATTCAAAGGGGTGCATGTACCCCAGTGTTTATAGCAGCATTACCTATGATAGCCAAACTATGGAAAGAGCCCAGATGTCCATCAACTGATGAATGGATAAAGAAAATGCGGTATTACTCAGCCATCAAAAAGATGAAATCTTGCCATTTGCAACAATGTGGATGGAGCTACAGTATATTATGCTAAGCAAAATAAGTCAGTCACAGAAGATCAAGTACAATATGATTTCACTCATGTGGAATTTAAGAAACAAAACAGATGAACAGATGGGAGGGCGGTAAAAAAAAAAAAAAAGGGGGAGAGGGAAACAGACCATAAGAGACTCTTAAAAGATAGAGAACAAACTGAAGGTTGATGGAGGGAGGTGGGGGGAGGTCTAGATGGGTGATGGCTATTGAGAAGGGCACTTGTCATGTTGAGCACTGGGTGTTGTACGTAAGTAATGAATCACTGAATCCTACCCCCTGAAACCAGTATTCCACTGTGTGTTGACTAATTAGAATTTAAATAAAAATTTGAAGGAAGAAAAAAGAGAGACTATCTTAAATGCAACCAAAGAAAACACAAATGTACAAAATACCAAATATAAAAATTGTAGAAGACTTCTCTTCAGAAACAGTGCAAGTCAGAAAATATTGGAGTTCTGAAAGAAACATCTTTAAAGTTCGAAGAGAAAAAGAAAACCATGTGGGACTTAAGTTGGTAACATACTATAGTTACTTTCTAAACAATATCTGGAGTTTATTCTCCAATTCTGTGTTACTTTACTCCCTCTGCACACTACAAGTTCTTTGTTTAGAAAAGCAGCAAGGTGTGGTAGGATGAAACATGCATTCACACTGGGTTTGAATTCTTGCCATGATAGAGAAACCTTGGACTTATTAACCTTTTCTGAAAGTTTTGTTGTTGTTGTTGTTGTTTTTCCTGTGAAGAAGGAACAGAATCACCAACTTCATAGGATTATTTTGAGTTGCTGAAATACTTAAAATACCTCATATAGTTTCTGGCATATAGTAAATAATAAATAGTAGTTATCTTCCTTTTGTGTGTTATACCAAGTTTGCAAGAGTTACCACTCCAAATAGTGCCTAGCAGTGGTCATTTTATACCAGCTTTTTGAAATATTCTACCAATAGCAAATCAGCTGTACTTTATTACAGTAAATTTATATCCCATTGCCTTTAACAACTGCAAAAGACCACCAGATTCTAAGTTATAAGCAAAGTCCATACTAACCTAAACTAGTATTTCCACTAGTATCTTCTTAAAATATTCAATCAGTTGCTGATGTTGATAACTTAAAATGCAAATGCCAAATTGTCATATTTCAGTAATAAATAAAGCACGATAAAAAATTTTTTCTGAAGTATTATTCATTACCTTGCCACTGGTAATATATTTGCAATTAATTTTAAGAAATTTCTCAGTAAATGCTTCTTCTTCCTCAGAAGTTGAAGATACAACTCGTGCAGGTCGAATACCAGTAAAAGTGGATAAGGGAGTTGCTTCTTTCAGGTGGACTACATCAGGATTCTTTAAAAAAATAATAATGATAAAGGCAGTTCAGAGAACTAAATAAAAATTAAATTAGCACATTATTAAAGCCAAATGAATAGCTTTCCCTGATTCTCATCACATTCTTGGAGGTCAGCTCAAAATATTCTTTTTTTTTTTAAAGATTTTTTTTTTATTTGAGAGAGAGACAGAGTGTGGTGGGGGGAAAGGGGAGAGGCAGAGGGAGAGGGAGAACAGGGAGCCTGACACAGAGCTCGATCCCAGGACCCCAGGATCACAACCTGAGCTGAAGGTAGACAGTTACCCGAATGAGCCACCCAGGCACCCCTCACAATATTCTTACGTTAAAAAGAAATAGGAAAGAATGGCACTGTGTTCACATTCAATAAAGATCTCTAACAGAGCTTAAACTTTTATTTTCAATGATTTCTTAATGGGATATATATTTATGAATCATCTGTAAAATGCTGAAAACTACATCTCTTGTACCTGCACACTACATGAACACACACACTCAGTTGTTCCTGAATTTAATATATCCCTCAGGTGCTGGGAGCAGAGAAAAGATGGAGTGCTTGTCTGTGATACTTAGGAATTCAGCCAAACTCATTTCACTGGAAGAGCCATTTAAAATGTTAAGCTACAAAGAGTTTATCAATACCATTGTATAAAGTATTAATTGGTTAGATCACAGATTCTTGACTTTTTTTAATGCCATGGACCATTCTCACAGTGAAGCCTAAGGACCTCCTTCTCAGAATGTTTTTTGAATACTTAAAATATAGGATTACAAAGAAAAACAATTATAATGAAACATAATTATCAAAACATTTAAAAATTAGTTATATTTTTTATTCATAGTTATAATAGTTATATATAGTTGATACATATATCCTTCCTTATTAAACATGAAATAATAAAATCTAGTGTTGACTGATAATTATAATTTTGAACTATATGGCTATAAACAGTATTTTTGATATCTACAACTCTAAAATGATTTGAAAATATCTGTGAGTTCTACTGGGGACAAAGTCACAGGTATACATGGTGCTACTCTACAGTTTATATTCTTAATTTGAAAAAATACTATATTTCATTTAAAATTGTTTCTATTCAAGTTCACAGACCCCTAGAACTCATGGGTCCCCCCAAAGTTCAACATTCTCTACAATGTAGAAGGCTAGACAAATGTCTTTTATTCTTTGTCTTAAATACCTCCAGAGGCATTTTATAATTCCTGAGTAAATGAACAGTGCCTTATAGAATAGTTTTCATAGTACCAAGGTTCTTCAGAGCTTTGAGCTAAAATCCGGCACTTTGTGACAGATACCCAATAGTTCTGACTTGGCCTTTTGAAATAATAAACAAGAATACCTTCTCTTCAATCTCAAAGACTTCAAGCTACTTGAAAAGCACTCTCAAATTTTAACATAACTTTTTCTACTTCACTAAATGGATCTAATTCCTTAAGTCTATATGAGGACAAAATTTGAGACTTCCTTTCTAAATTTCATTATCTCTCTCCTAATAGATACCCAATAGATATTTTTTGAAGGAAGATCAGTACAGAATACTGCAAAACAACTATATTTAACATACTATGATTATACCTTAAAAAACCTAAATGGAATTAGATTTTAACAGATGCATGACACTGTTTAATCATTAATATCTATTAACAAAGTTCTCAATCTTTCCATTTTATGATAAAAACTAGTAACTTTATACTCATCCTGTTGTCTCTGGTAATTACTATACTTGAGTTTTGTATGATACATAAATTCATTCAGCACAGATCATTTAAAAGGAGATGTTAGCAACAATAATATTAATGGACATTTATGAGTATGTGTTATGTTTAAGTGTTATACGAACCATTTCATTTAATTTTCAAATCATTCATATTAGGTATATACATTATTACCTTAATTTTAAAGGACACTTATGGTTAGCCAAGTTCAGTAACTTGCCCAATGAGTAAGATGAAGCCGATACCTAAAAACCACATTATCAACACTTGAACTAGTGAGCTTCACTGCAATACTTACACCTTCCCTTTCAAATATTTTTCTAAACAATTGATAAATGTGTGAAGGGAATAAAAGCCAGTTCCAGAGCCACTGGAAGGCCCTCTGCAAGCTGGCACAAAGCTATCAACAAATTTTATGACTGTTCAGTTACTGCCAGTTGACAACATTACCTACTATGTAACCTAATCATTCACAAAAACTGTATCAAGAAACACTGTCAAATGCTTTCCTTATATGAAGATATACCTCGTTGAACAACATGATCGCTTAGGTTCCCTCAAAGTCTCAAATTCTACAACTCAGTATCTATAGCAATCCCGATTTGTCAGTGTAATCCTATTAAAAAGAATACATGAGATTAGCTTAGTAAATGCTCGAAGTATAGCACATAAGCACGTAAGTGTACATTTCTTAAAGAAAAAAAAAAAAGCAACGTTCAGAGGGATTGTAATTAGATCTCTTTATAACTTACATACATGTGTATTAGCACCCAAAATATCAGTATCTCTATGTAGCTGGTTTTGATTGGTGTTTATAGATATAGATTCTGATTTTTAATGCAGTGATTTTGAAGCTCCTGAGTGCTTTCTGAGGTTTCTTTGTGCAATTCCGTTTTAGCCACTAGGGACAGAAAGGTGCTTAAAAATACAGAAGTATAGATATTTATCTAGTGAGCCTCAATCATTGCCCAAAGCATCACTAGAACAAGTGAAGCAAAAAGGTTGACTTACGGTCATTTTTTTTTGGTACAATATGATTAAATAGTATACATTATGATTTTTCCAGCTGTAACGTGGTAATAAAGAACATGGGCTCTGGACCAGAGTACCTGGGTTGGAATCCTAACTCAGCTACCAGCTAACTGAAGGAACTTAGATACTTAACCTCTCTCCCTCAGTTTCCTTATATGTAAAATAAACACTGTTACTGGTCAGGTACTAGAAGAAACAGATGGCACATCAACTTGAGTTAATTTAAAGAGTTTAAAAATGGAACTATTTACAAAGATATTATGCAGTGAATACAAAAATTCAGGGCAAACAACAGAGGAGTCCTTATCACCCACAGGCCTAAAGGGGAGAAACAGATACCGCAGAGACAGCAGGCTATGTGTCTGATGAGAGGAGAGGTTGAAGCATGTTGCCACTCTGAAGTGACCTTGCAGGAAGAGAGCTAAGAGAATAAATATGCCCCCTCTTGCTCCTTTTCTCTCAGAAAGACCAAAATTAAGAGAAGCAAAAGGTCAGGGGAACCCACTGATGTAGTCTAAAGCCCAAAGGAGGGTGTAGAATGGGTCTACAGGAGAAAACAGAAATAGCCAGGACAAGTGCTATATCTCCTAAGTTTGAGGTTAGGAATAAATGACAATACTTTTAAAGTACTTAGAATTGTACCTGACACATGGTAAATTTTAGCCATTTATTATTTATTTACTTACACTGGTTCTATCTCCTTCTATGTTTCTTCATCAATATGTGAAGAAAAAATGGGTAAAAACTGTTTGACCTTGGAAATTCTCAAAGATAGTATTTTTATGTGGAAATAAATTATTCAAAAAAACCCACTGGGATCCTTTATGCTAACAAAGCCAGGAACATAATATTTTAGCCTCCATGGTAAGCCACTACACAGCTGAACTGCAAAGAAACTTATGGGTGATTATTAGAAATATAAACTCTGACAATTTCTGGAAAAACATGCAACAATACTAATAAACATTTTAATCACTGTAATACAAATATGAGTTATATTTAATAAAACATAAGATCCTTGCTTCTAAGGGACTTAGAATGGGAGACCTAAATCCAATAATTATATATGGAGATATAAACACTAGAGATACGTAAAAGTTATATAGGAATATTTTATCTTGTGAATCTAGTAATAAATATATTTCTAGGTAGAAAACAAAATACAACTAAAGTTTAAAAATTACTGTTCAAAAAAATTACTTCTAACTATTGCCTATAATCAGATAGCAGGTGATAACTATCATCTAGGGAAAGAGGAAACTTCAAGAAGTCAATATTTCTTAACTCCTTCCTGGATCCATCCTAGGGAGAAAAAAAATGTATTCATATAACCAGTCATATTAGAGATACTATTCATATGACCAGTCATATTAGAGGATACTTTCTGGGCATCTCTGGCAGCAGCTGAGTAGTTACAGATTAAAAGGTCATTCATATAGCTTTATTATTCTTTCCCTCTCTTCCACTAACATGGCAAAAGTGAGGAAGAAAGCATTTTCACATAGGAGAAGGCCTGGCTTTGTTGCTTTAGCATTCTCTTCTTTTTTGATATTACGCCTTCAAGAAAGCTAGTTGGTAAGATTTGGGTTAAAGATGAGGGATGGAAAAGGACCCCACAGCGTTTTAGTCAGGCAGGATGCTACACAGTCAAGTTTTCACAGTTCTGCTTTAAGGTTTGAAAAAGAAAGTAAATGGGGGTGCCTGGGTGGCTCAGTCGTTAAGCGTCTGCCTTTGGCTCAGGTCATGATCCCAGGGTCCTGGGATCGAGCCCCACATCGGGCTCCCTGCTCAGCGGGAAGCCTGCTTCTCCCTCTCCCACTCCCCCTGCTTGTGTTCCCTCTCTCGCTGTGTCTCTCTCTGTCAAATAAATAAATAAAATCTTTAAAAAAAAAAAAAAAAAAGAAAGTAAATGAACCTAAGCCTACGTTGCTCTCCTTTGTTGTTGCACAGCTTATGAGTACAGCAATTTGTAAGTGTCATGGGACAATGGCATGGCCATGTTCAAAAACGTATTCTTATATCATTTGGTCCAGCAAGACCTACTCATTAGAACCTGACTTCTGCTATCATCAACAGGTATTATGCAGTGAATACAAAAATTCAGGGCAAACAACAGAGGAGTCCTTATCACCCACAGGCCTAAAGGTCTGGAGAAACAGATACCTCAGAGACAGCAGGCTCTGTGTCTGATGAGATGAGAGGTTGAAGCATGTAATATATTCCTTTCATGTGACTGCATTCTAAAGTACAGCGCTGATGTATTTATACAAATAAGATATCCAACAAATAAATATTTGAAAATGACCCCACTTCTCTCACTGTCTCACACCCAAATACACACTAAAAGTCCCTGGGCAAGGAGAAGAATAGTTATTAGTATATCATGTACTTTACTCCATGAAAGAAGTGGAGCTAGTTTAATACTAGAGCTTAGCAACTAATAATGTCTAATAATTTATAGGCAAATTAATATTAATGATTTGTATTTTGTTACCCATAGGTCATTCGGTATCTTAAATTCTGAGTGCAAATTGGGGCAGAAAAAAAAGGATGCCTCCTAAAGTAGGGAAGGCAACACACATGACTCTCCCACAGTAATCTAGCCATTTAATAGAGGAATAGCCTTTTATGTGTAAACAGAATCATTAGGTCATAAAAAAATGGGAAATTATGATTATTGTTAATTTACATAAAAAAGGCAAAAAATATAATTCTTTTCAGAGAGATTTTAATCAAAACTATTAAATACAGTTTGGTTCTTTAGAATTCATTTGTAAAATGTAACTTATATAGAACATTCCTTAAAAATGCTAGGTAAATTAATCCACTATTAATTACTCAGACTACTTGGAAGAATGATTAAGATGATAAGTTTTTTTTAAAAGGTAGTGTATCAGGGGCATCTGGGTGGCTCAGTCAGTTAAAAGGTCATTCATATAGCTTTATTATTCTTTCCCTCTCTTCCACTAACATGGCAAAAGTGAGGAAGAAAGCATTTTCACATAGGAGAAGTAGTGAGTCCCTCATTGCATCGGACTGCCTGCTCAGCTTCTCCCTACAGTCGGCTTCTCCCTCTCCCCCTCCCCCCTGGCTTGTGCACTCTCTCTCTCTTTCAAATAAATAAAATCTTAAAAAAAAAAAAAGAAAGAAAGAAAAAGAAACTCAAGAGTTCTAACTACTATATAAATAGAGAAAACTGAAATAAAAATCAAACAGGACATGGACTTCCTATCGTGTTACTGTCATGCTTATTAGGTAAAACTCCTTCCTTAAATTATTATATGGTATTTATAAGAGAGAGTTGATGAATATCTGGACCACCACCAATAACAACAGTAAGTTAATTTAAGCTGTCTGGTTTAATAAGAATGTTCCCTTTAAAAACAGAAATTTATAAATTTATGTAGCAAAATAAAAAAGGGAAAATTTTTTTTAACCATAGTCAAAGCAGGATAAAAAAGCATGATGATATACACATATACAGTGACATTTCTTCATAGCTATCTTTGAAAAGTAGGGACACTTACAGTGGCCTTATCAAATTCAGCCTCAGAAGATGTTGGTGACAGAGGACTTATTGGGCTTAGAGATGGAGAGCTCTCAACACTAGAGACATATTCAGGATCAGGAACATATAAAACCTGCAAGAAAGCATTCATATAAAGATTCAGTCAAGCTGAAATATTAATAATTGAATGGTGTTCTATAAACAAGTACCATTAACAATGATCTTCACCAATAGAAAAAATAAAAATCTTCAAATTCAAAGAATATTTACTACCATAATAATTCTAATGAAGTAAAAAAATATTTAAATTCAATTTAGACAAGTTTGATAATAAGTACTATCAAAGATAGGGTGGGGAAAGAGTAATTCTCATGTACTATGGGTGCTCCTCTTAGAGGACAATTTGGTAATAGCTGGCAAAATTTAAAATGCACCTATCATTTAACTCAGCAATTTTACTTCTAAGACTTTACAGAAATGCCTGCATATAAAAGACAGATGTAGAAGAGTGTTCCCAACAGCAATGTTTATAATAACAAAGGAGATGAAACAGTTTAAAGCTTACTGTGCTTTGTTAATATATCAATATAGTGCAATACTACCTACACATGAAAAAGTCTGAGGTCAAGCCATACTTAAATAAAACATTTTCTAATAATCAAAGTTAAATTTTTTAAAAAAGGGAAAGGCTAGAATATTTCTGGAAGAGGATACAAACTGTTAATGTGGTTGCTTCTGGAAAAGGAAACTGGAAGTCTGAGATGGGGTAATTTTGAATTTTTTTATCATGTACATGTATTGCTTTGAATATTGTAATAAGCTCTTTAAAATTACATTTGAAAAGGTAATTCACAACTATTTTCAATCTTAGTAATCTTCAATTACTAAGAAAAATTAATACAGGTATAAGTGACCATTTTCTCTTCTAGAGACAATATGATTTGTTCAAAGCATGCATAAAATTATTCTTAAATTTTCTATTGTCAACTATACTGCAGTGGATACTTTGTCTTGCTACTGAATGCTTCTAAACACCAATGCATTAAAAAAAGATACCTGTCCAGTAACAACTGCTCGGGAGAATAACTTATTTAATTGAACAAGTTCGTTGGGCGTTGTATCAAATTTCAGGGCTATACTATTCAAAGAATCCCTTGATTCAACCTGTTTGAAAGAAAAAATAAATTATTTGCATCTGTTAAAACAGAAAAACTAAATTATGAGGTTTAATATTATGAAGATGTCTGTGGACCAATCTCACATTTGATTAACAAGTGGTATTTTCCATCTTTAGATATAGGTTAACTTGAGAAATTTTGTGCTTTGTTAGCAAATGGCCTCAACCTATTATGATACAGTGTATATGCTTTATCATAGTATATCACAATTATATGTGGGCCTCTACTTCAAGTAATTTCCAAATACAAAATATAATTTACAAAACACAAATGATTTTTATTTTACAAAGGCTCTAAAATACATTATTCCTTTAAATAGTTTCTAAAACATATGGAACCTAGAAACATACAAATTTTATTTTAGCAAAGTATGCCTGTATCAACCTGAAAATGCTATTCTAACTATTTTTATGTATACATCTTATCATTTAAATATATAAATCAGAAAACATTTCGCAATCTGCTTCTAAACCACTAATATCCTTTAATGATCTTATTTATAGAAATCTTAAATTATGGGATTTTGCCAATTACCCTGAAAGAAAAAGTCACTTGATCAGTCATATTCCTTTGGAGTCCTCTATACAAGCCATTATGACAGCTGTGTAGGATAAAATTAAGTGCAACTAAATGGTTTTTAGTGCACAAGGGATTTACAATCTAGTTGGAAAACAGGAAAAGACAAAAAAAGATTATATGAGATGAAGAGCAATTTAAATGAAACAACAAATATAAAACAAGTTCTGAGTATGGATAGTATACCATATTTGCTCCAAATTGTCCAGGAAAGACTATATTAAAATGATTTAAAAGCTAGATTTTGAAGAAGGATTGGAATTTGAGAAGTAGAGAGAAGGGAAAGAACATTCAAAGTGAAGTGAAGAGCATAGGACTGACATGTTAGGAGACAGAAAAGTACAAAATACTTTCTGTGTGATACTATTTCTTCCTCCCCAAACCACCCAGAGTACACTAATGAGTTTAGGATTTTAGGAAGGTTACTAGAGTTAATTCTCAAAAAGCATGAGATTGGAAAGGCATTTAGAATTAGGCTATAGAAGACTTTGAAAGTCAGGAAAAATAGGTATGTATATAATGTAAAAAAACAATAAATATATAGTTTTCCTTTAAGGGTTATATAAAACGAAATTTGTGACAAATACATAGGATAATAATTGAATAGTTCTGTTTCCTTCCTTTTATGCAAACTTTCTCATCTGTGTAATGAGATGATCTATCACTTACCCTATTGGGATAATATACGTAGAAGCTCTCTGTAAACAAATTTTATTTTGCAGTAACATCTGTAAGTTTACAAAATACTTTCATATTATCTCATATTTTATCCTCACAATGATCCTATTAAATGGGGGTGATGAAAGTAATAAAAGACGCCAATAGTTATAAAGCAAAGAAGTTATATGGCTTGAGTGACAACAGGTCTAGGATTAATGAGGCAAGAGAACAAATGCAGAAAAATCAACTTAACACTACTGCAGTAAATGAGGTTAAAAGTAATAGAAATGTAAAAAGAGATTAAGGTATATAAGGTTTCCAAATAAGACTCGAGAAAGCAATCATGGAATGAATGAGGTTGTGACGATGGTAGTTGTAGTAGTAGCAGGTCAGGGGAGCAAATGGCAATAAGCAACTGATGTTGAATCTCAAAATTCCAATCTGGATGAGTAACAGACTGAAGGGAAACGAAAATAAGAAAATCAAGCACTGGACAAGGAATGGAGAAACTGGTAAAAGGTTTGCTACAGTTTGTTAAGTATCAAATGAAAGCAGGAAATACAAGCATCTAGAAAGGTAGGAATAGAAAAAAATTGGAGTCTCACTCCACATAGTTTATACAGTAAAGTTCTTAAGATCTCTAAGTAATAGAATTTAAATGGAAAAGTGAAAAGAAACAAGGGACCACTTACATTCAGAATCAAGAAGAATAGAACAGCCAGTAAGAGATAGAAGATAGAGTAAAACTGACAGCAAGAATACCAGGGCAATGAAGGATAATGATGGCAAAATGTAGTCCAATTAGTTTCAAGAACAAATAGAGGGAAAATGGGAGATATACTCAAAGAAATGATGGGTGATAATCTTCCAGAACTATGAATGATATACTCCTCAGACTGAAGAAACACAGTAAGTAAAAATTTGTCTGAATCAGGACTTATCACAATGGTACTGTAGAACTGTAAAGAAAAAAGGGAAAACTTCAAAAACAATCTTAAAAAGAGAAGACTGCCTAGAAATGAATAAAAATAAAAAGGCAACAGAGGGACATAAGAAAGTGGATTACAACACTGAAAGCGCTGTCAGAAAACAACTGTCAACCTGATGATCTATAGACAGGTCAACTACCAGGAATGAGGGTGCAGTAAAGACTTTCAGACATTGCCTGATTATCCATTCCCAGATCCTCACTGAAAACAACTGTTAAGAAAAGTAAAACCAGGAAGAACGAACAATGAGCAAAAAGCAACAAAGGAAAGGCCCCTGGGTTTGATAATTAGAAATTCATTAATGCCCTTGGAAATGGCTCTTTCATTAGAAAGGTATACAAATATTAAGTTAACTAGGAAGAAAATGATAATGTATAGCATTTTCAAGGTCTACTTTTGATTCCTACTGAAAGTGATTTCATAATTAAAAACAATATGTATGTGTGTTTATATATATAACTTTAATTTTAAAGCTATGTAAATACAATGACTGATTTATACTCTATTTAGGTGGTATGAAATATATTTAAGCTAGATCATAAATATTTCAGAACAAATTCTGAGAGTACATTATGGTATCAAAAGTTTTATTTTAAGAGAATAGAGAGGAAATATATTTTTTCCTAAATATAAAAATGTTATATAAATATTTTATATAAAGATGTTATACGAAAATTTTATAAAACTATAATAAGAATAGAAGACAATAAAATCGTACTCAGTTCTAGAAATACACTTCTTTCTTTCTTCTAGGATTTGGCATAGGGAATAAACAAATAATTAAAAAATAGGGCGTAAAAGTCTAAACAAAGACCTGCAAGAGGATGTTTTATAACTTTTCTGGTTAACACTTGGTTATTTCTAAAAGGTCAATTATAACATTAAGAAAAAATATAATTTCAAGTTTCAATTACTCCCCCTATAAAATAATGGTTCTTAATTTAAATTTACTTTGTTATAGATAACACAAGTTTTATTGAATTACAAGAAAAGAATGGTAAACTCCTAAATTCAAAACAAACTAAACATTTACAATTCCTCATAATCACAGGATTACATGTGTAAATAACATCTTATGCCTCATGCCTATAATCTTATGCCTGAATAAACACTAATGAATACATCAAATTACATGACCCATTATTTTACTGTTTGAACTTATTTTCTCAATTTCTCAATCATGCAGAGAAGGTATAAGCACATTCAATTTAAGCTTATAATATACTTTAAGATTCTTTCGATGGTAAAAATAATTCTACCCTAAATATCTGGGTCCCAACTTTTTAAAAAAATACTTAAAATCTCAAATTATCAATTATACAACATATGGAAATAAAGAGTAAACCAAGTTTTTGACATTTTTTCCAATTTTAAGGATACATGGAAAATAATCAAAATCAAACCAAGACTGGAAGGTTTCATGATGACACAAATGCAGAGATTGTTTAAAACTGCTATTTGCTTCTTAATGCAGTTGTAACATATTAGAAAAACACAAAATAATAACACAAAATTAAGGTCAGTTAAAGAACTGCTTATAATTTTGTTAACATTATGTAAATAAACAATATTCATATGTAATCAGGTAAGCATTACACCACAGACTAAAGTGGATTTCTCAAAAAAAAAAAAAAAAAAAGTGGATTTCTCACTTTAGTTTTCCACAGTAACCAGAAATGTAAAAAGTTGACTGAGAGATTTGAAGGTCATTTGAAAAACACAGAAAATAGTTCCAATTCAAAGCCAAACAAACTTAGCCATAAATCAGTGCAAATAATCATGATGTGAGAGGTTATTCTGGAAAGATAAATGTCAATTTATCTTCTAAGTATTCTACCTGCCATTTTCATTATTCTTAACACTGCTGGGAATATAATGAAGATCACATTTCTAAAAGAGTAAATGTTTTCCTAAAAGCCTAATCTAATAAAAATTATTAGAACACAGGAATTTTGACTCCCCATAAATTACCATCTATATCAAATTAAACTTGCTGGGATAACTGTCTTTCTATCACACAATAAAATTTCTCTTTAAGGAAAAATAAAACCTAAAATATAATTAAGAACTTAAGTATTATTAATAAAACAGTTACTGAATGGCAAGTATTTTTGCAATAAGACAATTAACAATCTTTGTTTTATTTATTATAATATAAATGAAGAATGTCTTAAGTAACACTCTTGCAAAGACAAGTCAGTCTTTTCAAAAGCAAATAACTTACTGTATACTCAATAGTTCCTTTAGGTTTCTGAAAGGACATTCGTCTCCCATCTTTCTTGTCTAAGGTCTTCTTCTGGCCAGTGTCTGAAAGAAAATGAGGTAAAACTCCTATTAAATTCATTTTCTTTTCAGAGCAATGTCAAGGACAGCTAACTAGAGCTCACTGGGCAGTTATCTACTAGACTTAGTACTACTACAGTTTGCTCCCTGGGATTCTCTGCTCTAAAATGCAACCAACTGTTGAAAAAGGAAATGTATCTTCTTGCTTGCTTGCTTTAGGAACTGACCAGTATGAGACACTCTAGTAACTGGAAGTCAACTCAAGGGGCGCCTGGGTGGCTCAGTTGTTAAGTGTCTGCCTTCGGCTCAGGTCACGATCCCAGGATCCTGGGATTGAGCCCCGCATGGGGCTCCCCGCTCTGTGGGAAGCCTGTTTCTCCATCTCTCACTCCCCCTGCTTATGTTCCTTCTCTCGCTGTGTCTCTGTCAAATAAATAAATAAAATCTTAAAAAAAAAAAAAAAAAAAAAGGAAGTCAACTCAAAACATAAGCAACGGTCAGCGAAAGGATTATTTTATTTTTTAAAGATTTAATTTATTTATTCATGAGAGACAGAGAGAGGCAGAGGGACAGGCAGGCTCCCCACTGAGCAGGGAGCCTGATGTGGGACTCCATCCCAGGACCCCAGGATCATGACGCGAGCCTAAGGTAGACCCTTAACCATCTGAGCCACCCAGGCACCCCATGGATTATTAAGTTTTATTAAAAACTGAATTATGGATCATTTCTTTCAACCTATCTAACTTGATTACAATTAACTATATATTTGAGGATATATATTATTATTACTATTCATTATTATTATAAACCAAACCATGTTTGAAAAATGTAACATTAGTCCTCACAGAAAAAAATAACTCCACTAGGTATTTTTCACTTGCTTACCAAGATATTTCACTTGAACTTGTTATTATCACTGAGATTATGGTATCTGTTTCACTTTAAATTTTGCATTAGTCCTAACCTTCTCATCTATACTTCATGTAACAATCATTACACTGAATTGATAAATACCACTCCTATCTAAATAATTTAAAATAATTAAAATCAATCTCAAAAAAACTCAAAACTGAGTAAGATAGTGAATGGAAAAATGCCATAGTCACCCTCAATATTCTACAAGGCTAAAATGATAGTTGTCAAAGAAATCAGTAAGTGATCCGAAGGGGTAGGTGCACCCCAATGTTTATAGCAGCAATGTCCACAATAGCCAAACTATGGAAAGAGCCAAGATGTCCATCGACAGATGAATGGATAAAGAAGATGTGGTATATAAATACAATGGAATATTATGCAGCCATCAAAAGGAATGAAATCTTGCCATTTGCAATGATGCGGATGGAACTGGAGGGTATTATGCTGAGTGAAATAAGTCAATCAGAGAAAGACATGTATCATATGATCTCACTGACATGAGGAATTCCTAATCTCAGGAAACAAACTGAGGGTTGCTGGAGTGGTGGGGGGGTGGGAGGGATGGGGTGGCTGGGTGATAGACATTGGGGAGGGTATGTGCTACAGTGAGCACTGTGAATTGTGTAAGACTGTTGAATCACAGACCTGTACCTCTGAAACAAATAATACATTATATGTTAAAAAAAAAAAAAGAAGACAGTAGGAAGGGAGAAATGAAGGGGGGGAAATCAGAGGGGGAGACGAACCATGAGACACTATGGACTCTGAGAAACAAACTGAGGGTTCTTGTCTAAGGTCTTCTTCTGGCCAGTGTCTGAAAGAAAATGAGGTAAAACTAAAAGCCTAATCTAATAAAAATTGATCAGAGGGGAGGCGGGCAGGGGGATGGGTTAGCCTGGTGATGGGTGTTAAAGAGGGCACGTACTGAATGGAGCACTGGGTGCTATACGCAAATGAATCATGGAACACTACATCAAAAACTAATGATGAGGGGCGCCTGGGTGGCTCAGTTGGTTAAGCGACTGCCTTCGGCTCAGGTCATGATCCTGGAGTCCCTGGATCGAGTCCCGCATCGGGCTTCCTGCTTGGCAGGGAGTCTGCTTCTCCCTCTGACCCTCCCCTCTCTCATGAGCTCTCTCTCATTCTCTCTCTCTCAAATAAATAAAATCTTTAAAAAAAAAAAAACTAATGATGTAATGTATGGTGATTAACATAACAATAAAATTTAAAAAGAAGAAAAAAGAAATTAGTTCTACCCAACCCCAAATAATCTAGAAAATACCTTTCATTTGTTCTCCCTCTATCCAATCTTAATTGAATTCTGATCATACTAGAGTTTGTTTATATGTAACTAATTAGCTCAGTTGGGTGAACAGTTCTAACAAAGCATTAATAATAAAAATAATAAGTATGAATACCAAAAAAGTCAGTTTGTTTCACAATGCTTAAAAAAGCTCTCCTAAAACCTTCCTGGATCACCTAAGTCTCTGTTATTAATCATATAGCATCTGTATGTCTCCTTCATAGCACGTGGCTCAGTTTTAAGTTTCTATCTCTTTTTAAGTCCTTCCGCTATATGGCAACCTACAAAATACTGTGCTTGCTTTGTTCCACATTGCCTCCTCTGAAGCAACAACTTAAACTATACCTAGAACTATCACAATTCTCATAAACCGTCATTAATTTTCCATAAAGAAAAGCAAAGAATTATGGTTCAACCATTATGCCCGAGGGCAATGAATTTTATATATATATTCCCTACTCTTATTTCCTAAATATTTACAGAATTCTTAAAAGCTGGGAAGGAATAAAAGATAAAAACTCAGAAAAACAGCAAAGGTTTTGATCAGACAATTAAGAGAATATAAAAATGGTGCTTAAACATGTAAAAATATTTTTAATCTAACTCATAACTACAGAAATGCAAATGTGAATTACACTGAGATAGAATTCCTCACCTATCAGATAGGTAAAAATTCAAAAACCTAACTAAATATTGTTTGGCTATAAAAAAACAGCATTCTTCTATATTTATGGTAGGAATGCAAAATGATATAATGCTTATGGAAAGGAATATTATTTTTGCTTATTGTAATCCACTTTTCCTCCAAAGAACAGCATATATTTAAATTTGATTTTCTTACGATAAAACATTAAACTATTTTAAATCTAAACAATTTAAAAAGTTTTAAATAGTAATTTCTGCTCTTTCATAAACAGCAGAGGGAGCCAAAACATTATCCTCATTTTGCTGTTTAAACTTAAGCAATGCAAAGTACAATTACAGATAACTTTTAACTAGTAACATATATCCATCCTTAACTGATTTTAGGAATAACCATTAGTCTACATTACTTTGCCTAACTGAAGTTTTTCAATTTGTGTTTCATAATATCCCAAGAATTCATTAAACATTTAATCACAATGAAGTTTGCAATTGCTCTCATTTTCAAGAATTCACCATGGAATGCAGTTCAGAGCAAGAAAACCAATATATTAGCTTTCTATAAACTTTTCTTTTTTTTAATCTTTTTTTTTTTTTTTTAAAGATTTTATTTATTTATTCATGAGAGACAGAGAGAGAGAGGCAGAGGGAGAAGCAGGCTCCCAAGGAGCAGGGAGCCCGATGTGGGACTCGATCCCAGGGCCCTGAGATCATGACCTGAGCCGAAGGCAGACGCTCAACCATCTGAGCCACCCAGGCGCCCCAGCTTTCTATAAACTTTAAAACAAATTGAAAGTATCCACTTTAATAATTTAGAATTATATATTACTTTAATGTTTATTATAAAAACAGTTCTAAAGATTAATAACCAATGTTAAAACATTTACTCATAAATATAATTACCAGAGCACAATGAAACAAACTGATCATTCACTTCTATCAGTATGAAAATACAATCACATAATCACAATATTTGAGACTTTCTGAAAATGAGCACAGTTGCTACCTAGCCCAGTCTATTATTGGGTAATTTTAATACCTTTTTTATTTTTATTTATTTATTTATTTATTTTTAAAGATTTTATTTATTTGACAGAGAGAGACACAGCGAGAGAGGGAACACAAGCAGGGGGAGTGGGAGAGGGAGAAGCAGGCTTCCCACTGAGCAGGGAGCCGGATGCGGGGCTCGATCCCAGGACTCTGGGATCATGACCCGAGCCAAAGGCAGCCGCTTAACAACTGAGCCACACAGGCGCCCCAATACCTTTTTTAAAGAGAGTTGCCAGCATAAAAGAATCTAGACAGTGAGTATGGAGAGGAGAGGTCTTATTCTTCTTCCCCACAAAAGTTATTACAGTTTAGAAATATATACATATTTGTGATTTATTTAACAATCAAAATAATAAACATTTATCAAGTGCTCAGTATATGCCAGCCACTGTTCTAAGTACTTCACATTTATTACTTTACCTGATTCCTCAACCCTATAAAAGTAGGTATCATTATTATCCATTTTACAATCTAAGAAAATGAAGCACATTGTTGGTTATTGCAATTGGGGAAATGTTACTGGCATCTAGTGGGTACAGGCCATGGATGCTGTTAAACATTGTGTGTTAGACAATGTACAGCACATTCCCCTCACAACAAAGAATTCTCTGTCCCAGATTGTCAATACTATTAAGGCTGAGAAGCCTTTCTATGTACCCAGCACCTTATATTATGTGTGGCATACAGTAGGCATTCAGTAAATTTTTGATAGGTAAATGGATATATAAAACTTCCCCCAAGATACAATTATCTCGATATATTGAAAAGAGCAAGGGACTTAGATTTTACTCTATCATTACCAGAAGCGCTTACATGTAATCTAGAGCAATAAAGTCCCATTCTAAGATGAATCCTACAAACTTCGATATTCTGTGTTTTAATAATTTGGTCCAAAATATTTTATAACTTCTAATTTCTTCTTTTGACATTAGAGAATATTGCTTAATTTGCCAACATATGAGAGTTTCTAAAATTTATCTTTTGGTTACTGATCTAGACTAATTGCACCATGATGAAAGAAAATAAAGAAGTTCAAACCTTTGAAATCTGTTGAAATTTGCTTTATAATCATATGTAAATTTAGTAAATACTCTGTATGTACTTGAAAAGAATG